AGGTGTTTAATACATTTATTGGACTGAATTCATCACATTCAGCATGATTTCACTTGTCTGGGGGGCAGAAACAAGGATGCGAGGCAAGTTCATACGGTTAAATGAAGAATGGTCAGGAACAGAAGAGGAGGTGAGGAAAGTGAGGAGTAATCCAGCAGGGTTATAGATTTAGAGCTACAAGGGACTTTAGGGACCATCTAGTACAATCTTTTAATTATAGATGAAGAAACTAAACCCCAGAGAGATTAAGGGACTTGTCCAAGTTTACACATGCAGTGTAAAGCTGGTGCTCTTTGCTTGCTGCCAGGATCAAATATAAAATCTGGTTTGGCATTCAAAGCCCTTCATAACCTGGACTCTTCCTGCTTTTCTAGTCAAATTATACCTTGTTCAGTAATATCCAACTCTTTGTGACCCCACAGATCATACTGTCCATGGGGTTTTCTTGGCAAAGATACTGGAGTGTTTTACCATTTCCTCCTCCAGTGGATTAAGACAAACAGAGGTTAAGTGACTTGCCCAGGGTCACACAGCTAGTTGGTGTCTAAGGCTGGATTTGAACTCAGATCTTCCTGACTCCAATCCCAGCACTCTATCCACTGAGCCACCTAGCTGCCTCCTTACAATTGCCCCTTCCTCTGTGATCCAATACCATGGTTTTCCTTGCTGATTCTCCCACATGATGCCATCTCTTGACTCAATATTTTCACTGGCTGTTTCCCTTCTCATCTTTTCTTTCTGGCTTCCCCGTCTTCTTTCAAGTGTCAGCTAAAGTCCCATCCTCTACAAAAACCCTTTCTCAATCCTCCTTAATCTCAGTGCCTTCCCCAAGTTGATCCGGTATCTAGCTTGTTTGCATATTGTCTCCCCTATTTAATTGTGAGTTCCTTGTGAGCAGGGACTGCTGGTTTTTTGTTTTTTGGGGTTTTTTTTTTTTTTAGGTTTTATTGCCTTTTTTTGTATCCCCAGGGATTAGCACAGTGCCTGGCATACAGAAGATACTTAATAAATGCTGGTTGACTACATGCTAGTTGACTGTCTTTCAGCTGAATGACGAGATAACAAAAAAAAATTCCCATGGAACAAACTCTTAAGCTGCTAGCTTTAAAATACGATGTAAATGGTAGAGAAGGAAGTTCACCAAAATGAAAACGTCATACTGCTTTGCCATATATTCTATTACACAGTCCACTGGTCTAAATTTATGATTCAATAAATACTATACCTTGCTTTGTGGATTAATCACAAAGCAGAACTCCCAGATTCCAAGCAGGAACCTACAAGTTAAATGTCCCTGAATAAACCGATAACTTAAGTATTTGTCATAATTAAGCATAAATGATCAACTTCAGTCCTATTACTACTGTCAAGTTGGGAACCAGGCACATTTTAGAAGACTAATTTCACTATCTCCTTGTGGTGGCTTTCATCAACTATAGCATGAATTTTGTCCAAGAAAAAGAGGTAAAACTAGTACAAGTTTGACTGAAGGTATAGTGTTTCTAGGCATGATTTTCCTTGGCTCATTTGAGCTTATTTCCTTCAAATCTCTCCTCAATCTGGACAGTGATTAAATATCATGTGATGCAATAACAGCAATATTTTAAGATGATAACTGTGAATGACTTGGTTATTCTCAGCAATACAATGCTCCAAGAAGACTCTGAAGCATTTATGATGAAAAATGCCATCCATCCCCCAGAGAAACAACTGATGGTGTCTGAATACAGATTGAAGCATGTTTTTTTTTAACTTTCTTCCTTTTTCCTGTTTTTTTTTGGGGGGGGTGGTCTATGTTTTCTTTTACAACATAATTAATATGGAAATATGTTTTGCATGACTTCACATGTATAACCTATATCAAATTGCTTACTTTCTCAAGGAAGGGGGACAGGAGCAGGGGAGGCAGAGAATTTGGAACTCAAAATTTTCAAAATGAATGTTAAAACTATCTTTACATGTAATTGGGGAAAAAATAAAATACTAAATAAATAATTTTTAAAATCATATGATGATTGAACATGTATAACCTATATAAAATTGCCCTCAATCCCTTTCCTAGCTCTCTTCTGTTTTCCCTTCTCACCTCTACCCCATTCCTGGATCCATTATTGAATTCCTTTCTTCTACTTCTCATATGCTTCATTTTGTCTCACTTTAAGTGTCTAGGAAGGAGCTTTGCACTCTGTAGGTGCTTATTGAATGTTTATTGAATTGAATTTAGTTGCATTGCACTAATTAAAAGCCTGCTACATGCCAGCGACTATGCTAAGTGCTTCACAAATATTATTTTATCCTCGCAACAACCCTGGGAACTAGGTGCTGTTTTTAACCCCATTTTATAGATGGGGAAACTGAGACAAACAGAAAAAAGTTAAATGACTAGCCCAGGGTGACACAGCTAGTAAGTGTGTGAGGCTGGATTTGAACAGGTCTTGACTCCAAATCCAGCACTTTATCTACTCTACCACCTAGCTGCCTTTAATACATGTTTGTTAAATGCAACTCAACAATTGTTTTTAAATAAGTTATCTAATTGTTTTCAATAGGCATTGTTTCTCTTTCTGGTTTGAGAATATTTGAACAGAGTATTTTGGATTGAATAACCAAGAAATTCTTGAGATTGACATTTTGGTGAAGCATTGGATTTGTTAATGTCAGTTGTATCAGTATGTATGTAAGAAAATGTGTCTCAAAAAGAAAAAGATCATATAAATTATAAAGTATGATAATCAACTATTAACAATATTAATTGCTTCATAATGAGACTAGTGTTATCTTGTAACTGGCTCTTCAGAAGGTAATGTCAATAAATTCTTCACATTTCATATTGTGTGAGATTCCTGTGAATTAGAGAAGTTAGGAATAAATAACAATATGGAGCCTCATTTTAGTCATTTCTACATTTGTAATAAAGATAATTGAAGTTCAAGTATCTTCCCTTGCCCCTCCCCCTCTTTAATTCAAAGTACTTCTTCTAGGAGATGAGGTGAAAAGTATATGAGAGACGTGGTGTGTTTTGGGGTATAAGCATGAATCACATTTTGTGCTCTCCTGGCTTTTTGCAGATTCGTTATGTTATATTGACTAAATCATTCAGATTTGCACTACTTGAATTTTCCTGATTCCTTTACTAAAGTAGAAATAATACCTCCACAATGAAACTGTTTCAACATTCACACATGGACTTTGAAATTCCTTGACCTTGCAGTTCCTACAGACTTCGCTTTACTTTAGCTGCCTACCAGATGGGAATATCTTGGATTTCAAAACTTGGAACTGTTCCACCTCCAAAATCTCAAATTTGAACTTGGATCTTCCCTCCTATGGCCACAATAACCATACCTTCCATAATTTCTACCTGGTTACACTTATTGAAACTGCTTCTATCTGGAAGCTCATCAAGCTTCCAATCTGTTGACCCCTTCCAATTTCTAAAAGAGATAACATAAGTAAAGTACTTTACAAAGTGCTATATAAATGCTAGTTATTACTATTATAGATTCATTAACCTAGTTAATACGAATTAACCTAGTTTATTCAACCTAGTTTCTATGGTCAGCCATTTCAATGCTGCCCTCTGAAGCAGCCCAGAATTCCTTGCCCTCTTAACCTTTGACTATGCCAACCAGGTTAATCCCAGGTCAGTCCTAGTGTCTGCTTTCTCTGCTCGTGCTGCTAGGCTGCCAGTGTTTTTTATGTAAATTGATTTTTAAAAAATTTTAATTATTAAGCAACTATTCTAGATAGTTGAAGAAGCAACCTGACAGAGTGGACAGAGAGCTGGTGCTGAAGCCATGAAGACCAATTCAAGTCCTGCTTTTAGTACTTGGCTGTGTGACCCCCTGGCTTCTCACTGTTCTAGGGAACTCTTTAAGACTACAAGTTGCAGAGATGCTCCTAATCTGAGTTGGTAGGAGTTTCCTCACCTAAGAGTTCCCAATGCCAATGGAATCACACAGGTCTGGACCCTATCTTTGTCCACTTTATACAACCAAGAAAATGTACTGACTGGCTTCAGTCTAACCCAGCTGGGCCCTCACTACTATTCAGGGAATATTTTGTTCATCTCTTGTCAAGTACAGAATTTTCCTCAGTATCTGCTCTAAACCTCTAACACTATTCTTAGCCTACCTAACTCTTAGTTAGAGAGACTTCACCTCTTGTGTTCCTAAAAATATTAAGACCATCTAGCTCAAACTTTTCAATCCTACTCTTTCTTTACATGTTGCCATATTCTCTTCACAGCACCGATATTTCTCTGTATCTTTATCAATCTTTTTCTCCACTCTTCCTTGGAGGCAAAGGCTCCAAGGTCAGCCATTTCAAATGGGCTCCAAGGTCAGACCAAGAGAAATGGCTTCTCTTTTCCAAAGCTAATCCTTCAATATGTGTCCTGGATTTCATCCCCTCCTTCTTATTCTGGAACCTAAACCTACCTACTATACCTGTCCCCACTTTCCTCCAGTATCTTCAATCTCTCTCCCCACTGGCTTTTTTCTCTCTACCCACAAACAAGCTCAATTCTCTTCTTTCCTAAAAAAACCTACCCCTATCATTTCATTGAAACTACTCTCTTCAAGGTTACCCATAACCTAACAGAAAAATATAATGGTCTTTTCTCAGTCCTCATCCTTCTTAATCTCTCTTCAGCATTTGACTAGTCCCTCCTTACTGAAATTCTCTTTTCCTTTGGTTGCCCCCCCCCATCTCTCGGGCTCTTCTTTTTATTCATATTTTTATTTCTATTATTTCTTTTTCTGACTCCAGTCTCCTGGCTTCTAGTCCAATGCTCTGGGCACTACAATTTATTCCCCATCTCTCTTTCTCTAGTACTTGCTGCTACCACTTCCATTGATCTCCTGAAAGGTATTCACTTCCCTTACACGCACAATCCCTGCTTATATAATATGAGTGAGATAAGACAAAATTGAAGCTGTACTATCTTGTTACATAATAAAGATATTTTCCTAATTAATGGATTCCACAAAATGACTTACTATGCAGTAGTCTATCCTTGTTGCATCAAAAAGGACTTCCAGTTTGGTGGTGTTAAAGGAAGTTTTATTTGAAAATGATTCCAAAACCTAGGGGAAAAGTTGAAATATGACAAGTATTTTTAATTGCTCTTTCATTGCTAGGATGTGCTTACTGGCTGACCCTCAATCACATACAAAATATAGCAATATTCTGAGAATAATTATAGCATCCCATACTCTGCGCAGCAGAAGGTCATGCAACACCAAGTAATTACTGTGAATTTTTTTCTTTTATCATGATTGATATAAGAAACAGATATACTGATTTTAAGTAAACCTGATACACCTTTAAGAACCCAGTCGCCTCCATAGCGTGATTGAGCATCAGACTGGGACTTGGAAGAGTACTTGAATATTATTATTGTCTCAAGGTGTCTCAGCGTTCTTGGGAGGCAGGGGGTCCTAATGGAAACCTTGATGGGTAAAGATGCAACAAACAGCCCTTGCATTTTCAGGAAATGTGTTGGCTGGTGAAGGGCAGTTTACCCTTCATTGGATGTTTGTTTAGCAATATACAAAGAACAAAGGTGACCCTTTTCAAATTTTTTTATTATGAAATTTAAAACTATACTACCAAATGGAAAATACTATATAGATTCCTATCAAGGTTATTTTTAGAAGGCTACATGATCAGGAAACAGAAAAGAGGTACCTCGCTTAATTTATCCCCTCAACTTGTACAGGATGCCAGCCAAAGGCAAAATTTCATGAGCAGGCTAAGTAGATCTTCAGCAGGCCCAGTCTCCTGGTTCTTTGCCTTTTCCTCAGCCTCTTCCCACAAACCTCCCCCCCGCCAACCCCAGTGGTATTCTCTCCCCTAGTGTGTTCAGTGCCTGTACACTCTCTACCTCTCTTCCAACATCAAAACCTGCTTTCTGGGGAAAAAAAACCCAACATTGTTTTTGGGGGAAAACAACAACAAATCATGGAACTAATTCATATTAAGGTATAAATGAGTGATAGCTTAAATCATGCCCTTTTAGTGGGTGAACAAAGCCTTGTCAAAGGACAAAAAGTTCTAAGGGGAGAGTTCCAAGCATTAGCCAGCAGATAAAATACAAGGTATTGTGGATGGCATTAGAACCTTTCCAGTGTTCTAAAACCAAAATATATAAGCTGTCAGTTACTGATGGACTTGCGAGCGTACCTCTAAATGCCCTTGGGGAAGATGATTTTCATACTTACAGATGATGATAAATGTCAGGATCACGCTGGAGTCGGGTTTGGAATCCTATATATAAGTCATCCCAGAGCAACCCATGCTTCACCACATGCCTGATAACACCAACCCGGCTTCTTATCTGGAATGGACAATAAAACAACATTGTAGATGTACATTGTGCATTTGGGTACAGGCTACCACAACATTAACAATCTGGAAGCAATAGCCATTGGTGGCAGGGGAATGCACAGTGTAGCGAGACATGTCCAGGCATGTGCCTAGATGTAGGGGGCAATCTCCTCTCTCCCTTCTACTATCTCTTCAACAAAGTGTGAAATTCCCTTTGAAAAGCTGTGAATTGGTTTAGTTCCAAATACCTGTTGTTGAGTGGTCTTTTATTCTGGCATTGGTAGGGAAGTTCACAGCCACAGACTTACTAAAGACATGAGGATTATGAAGTTAATAGCATTTTCATGGTGTACTTCACACACTTGACTTGGATCTTGGGCTCAACTTTCTTTTTTTTAATTAATAAATTTATTTATTTTTAGTTTTCATCATTTACTTCCATAAGATTTTGAGTTCCAAATTTTCACCCCATCTCACCCCTCCCCCCACCCCAAGTTGGCATGCATTCTGAACACCCCTTTCCCTAGTCTGCCTTCCCTTCTATCTCTCCCCGTCTTCTCTTATCCCCTTCCCCTTCTACTTTCCTGTAGGGCAGGATAGATTTCCGTACCCCATTTCCTGTATTTCTTATTTCCCAGTTGCATGTGAAAACATTTTTTGAAAAGTTTTTGAAACTTTGGGTTCCAAATTTCCTTCCTTCCTCCCATCCCACCCACCCTCATTGAAAAGGCAAGAAACTCAATATAGGTTATATGTGTGCAGTTATCCAAAACACTTCCATAGTAGACATGTTGTGAAAAACTAACTCTATTGGGTTCAACTTTCAAAGGGAGATGGAATATTCATCAAAATAGGGAGACTGGGAGAGGACAAGAGAAGGGTAGATCTCTGCCTCCCTAGGGAGAGTGGAGATAGGATAGGATAGGATAATAACAAATGGAAAATATAGCCTCATTCACCAAGAACATAGGTAGATAGGATAATAGGATAGTTAGGATAATAACAAACGGAATATATAGCCTCATTCACCAAGAACATAGGTAGAGACAGGAGGAAATACCCTGAGATTTCGAGCCAAAGCAGAGTGAATTCCCTGGAAAGAAGCCTGGGAATCTATGTTCTTCCTCATCCTAGATGAGATAGAGTAAAGGTCTAAAGATAGGGCAACCTGGACTTTTCCCTTCTCTGGTACTCTGGACTTATATGGACTATATGGTCTGAGGGGAGGGAAAGAGGACTATTTGAGGTCAAGAATTGTTTTGACCATTTTTGTGATTGGGGATGAAATTTTTGCATTTTCCTGTCATGTTAAATAAAACCTATCCTCTATCCATAAAGAGAGAAAAGCAGAAAGACAAATAGAGAAGCAGAGACAGAAAAAGAAAGAGAGAGGGAGATAGAGGAGCAGAGTTGAGACAGAGAGAGAGAGAACTGTTTCTGAGAGCCTGACATGGGAAAGGATCACCGGTGGTTTCGGGGGTCACTGGTAGTCCTCTTTTTCATAGACAGAACCAATTTGAAGACAATAATTGATGGCTTAAGCAGCAGTGGTGACCTGGACACAGGAGCAACCAAGCAGCTAAGCCAGGCAGTGAGAATCACATCCATGACCGGCATTGCTCCGAATCAATAAGCTCTTTCCTCCATTTTTTAAATTCATGGGGCAGTGGGGAAGAGGCGATAGGAAGGTGAAAGTCCTTCCTTTCCCTATTCTTTTTATGAGCTAAGGCATTTTTCTATCCAAATCAAAGATCTAGAAGGGACAGTAGTGCTGGGGGAAGAATTTATATTTCTTTTTCTACCTTCTTTCTTAATTCCATGTTATTAGAAGTTTTGTGATCAAATATATTTAATGTATCTATGAGTACTGAGGGAAAAGACCTAAGATAGTAGAATTCATCTAAGAAGTAAGAGCACTAAGTAGAATATAAATAGTAAATTTCATATTTTCACATTTCACTTCATCCCTCTGTAGATTGAACCGGCTCACCCAGGAGCTAAATAAATCTGCATTTGAGCCAAGGTTGTTAAAGTTGGAGTAGGGAGAGTAGCTCAGGGAATAGTAGGCTTGCCCTCTAATGGTCACTTGGGATATTGCAGCCTGTTAAAAAAGTAACAACCAATCAATCAATGAGTATTTATTAAGTGCCTACTATGTGTTAGGTACTGAAGATAAAAAATAAAATGAATGAAACAATCTCAACTCATAATGAGTTCCTTGCATATGCTTCCACATATATATAAAAAGATGTAGGTCAATGAGTTGGAGAAGAAAATGGCAAACCACTCTAGTATCTTTGCCAAGTAAATCCCAAATGGGTCACAAATTATCAGACATAACTTAATTGATAATAACAACTTTCTTTCCTAGAATATGTGAGGCATGAAAAGCTTCTTCCTCAGTTGTAAATGGTTTTGGTTCTTTGATGCTACATAAAATTTTGCATATTTCTGAACTCACAATGGCAGCCTAACTTAATGTTTTATAAGGAGGGTCTACTTTCATTGCAATAAACTTTCTGACAATCCCAACTTAGGCAATTTTTTTGTTTGGGTTTTTTTTAACACATATTAAAAGCAGATAGGTCAGACTGCCAGAATGCTTACATTTGCTTCCCCATTCTTATATCATTCCAATAGGATATTTACTTATTGTGACCTTGGCCAAGGCCAAAGAAAGTACATTTTCAAATGTTTTGGAATTTAGGATTATATAATTCTGCAGAAACTAGGTCAAAAGCCCTGGGAGGATTGGTGGTGGTTAGCTCATTTGGGCTAAAGTATGACAATTCCATAAAAGGACTGAGGAACGTTTTATTAACTCCTTACTTCATACCAAATGATGATAATGATGATGGCTCAAAAAGGACCTACCCAGAGGCACAGGTTTACAGTTCATGTTTGGGGAGAATTAAATTAGATGTGGGTTAAGGTTAGGAGCAGATCCTCGATGAGGAAAAAAAATCATGAGAAAATCACACAGGGAGAATGATGATTAGCATTTTTGTAAAGTACACAGTAAATCTTAAAGTGCTTTACAAATGTGAATTTGTAAGTTAGATTCTATAACTGAGGCAACAGTTCTAGTAGGATAAGTTTCTGGGGAGAACTGGACAGAGGGACAGTCTGAGAACTTTGGGAAAATAGTATAAATCAAGTTTCCATGTGATTAAGATGGATCTGAAGGTATTAGTCATTTTGCTTTTATAGTATGTCGAGGCTGTTCAGTGTTTGCTTCTTGTTTATTCTTAGACATTTAAAGAAGAGGAGCGGGACTTTTCAACTGATTCAGGAAACTCCTTCATAGAAAAGCTGGACCCTGGAATAGAAAGGCTATATTGCAAGTTTTATCTTCTTGTTGGGTTCTCCTAGGCACTATAGAATTCCAGATGGGCCTTGGCTATCACACTCCTCCAAAGCTGCCATTTGGGGAGTGGAATAATTCAATAGGCAGTACAACAGCCTTCGCCTAAAGGCTCTGTTAAGAATGATCTCAACACCATCCAATGACTTTTCTAATAATAATTTAAAAAATAATAATAATAGCACTTATCTAGCACTTTAAAGCTTAAACACATTATCTTGCTTCATTCTCATAATAACCCTGGGAGGTAGATGCTATTAATATCCCCATTGTACAGATGAGGAAACTGAGGTAAAAGACTTGCTCAAGGTCACACAACTAGTAAGTGTTTGCGGTTGCATTTGAACCCAGGTTTCCTGATTCCAGGTCCAGCAGCTCTATCAACTCTGCTGCCTTGCTACCTTATTTATTAAGAATAATCATAAATAACAGTACCACCTTCTATTTGTATAATGTTTTGCAGTTTACAAGGAGCTTTCACCTACTTATCTGATCCTTAAGGCAACCCTGTGAAGTTGGCAGGATAGATATTATTATCCCTTATTTACAGGTGAAGAACAATCTCAGAGAAGTTAAATCATTTGTCTCAGGCCCCATAACCAAGTGGAAACATTCACCTGGTTATGCACTCAAGGATGAGCTGTGTTTGAATTAAGCTAATTACTGCCCAGAAGTAGGGGGAAGAACTATTCAGGTACATGCTAATAACTTGGTAATAAATGTAAACAAGAGATGGAACCAGGAGGTCTGAATGTTGAGAAATATTCTGAGAAGAAATAGGGAAGGCCTTATGATTCCAGCTGGGTTCATTCAATGGGAGAGAATAGAAGGTCCTATTCTCTTATGTTAAATTCAAAACTGGTTTTGCCTTGGAGGGGAGCTGATCTTCATACTTGCCAGAGATATCTGGCAACAAGTATTTCTTAAGTGCTTACTCTGTGATACGCCTTGTGCAAAATGCTGGGGATACAAAGAAAGGCAAAAACATGGTCCTGCCCTCAAGGAGCTCACATTCTAATCTCCATGTGTCTACCTCACTCTGTCATTCTTGCTCCCTACCAGATGTGGTAGAGAGCACGAAGCCATAACTGGAATGGGTAGAAGACTTAATAAGAGGTAGTTTATTTAATAATAAGTAGTTCTATTTCCATGTTTTTCCCACCAAATCGTAACACCTTCCTTTTCCTAAGGAGAGGAAGGAATGGGGAAACACTAAACCCTAAGAGAATCATTTTTGAGACTCTGACTTGAAAAAAGGATCAGTTTGTTCAGGTCTGTTCTAGAGGCAGTAAGCATAATGGTTAGAGACAGCCTTGGTGTCAGGAAGACCGGAGTTCAAATCTTGCCTCTGACACATACTGGCTGTGTGACCAAGAGCAAGCCAATTAATTTCCCAGTGAGCTAGACAGCTCTCAGACCAAAAGTTGCAGAGCAGGTAAACACCACATACAAACGTAAGCAAACACAAAAAAAAAATAGGCAAAATAAAAACAAATAGTTACTGGAGGAGCAGAGACAGAAACTAACAACTGACTAGACTGAAATAGGTTTTGATCTAAAATGGGGGTGCCTGAAGACCTCTAGGAATGCTTCCGTTTCTTGAGATTTTCAAAAACAATTTTATAAGGGGCAGCTAGGTGGCGCAT